CTCCAATCCTATAGTAGGTTAATCGCTCTTATATCCAAAGACATTTTTAAATCTTAAATGCAAAATTTGTGTATATATATATATATGTTTTTTTTTTTTTTTTTTTTTTTACAATTTGGTATAATTTCTGCTCTAAATTGGTAGCTCGTTTAATCCAATTAATTGTTTCAGCCCTGGTATACAGATGATTAAAAGCTTTTAAAAAGCACAAGTAAAATATAAAATGTGCAAATTTTTCTTTTGTTTTTCCGTACAGATTGTTATCTGTATGGCCAGACACATCCAGGCATGTTTTTGTTCTTTAAATAAAAGAGAAATAACAGAAAAACAAATAACATCAATTCAGGTTTTCTTTGCAAAGACTGATAACAAACATCCATGTGTGAAGGCAAACATTATGTTCTTATAACTGCTTTATTCTGACACTCAGAAAACAATCAGTGATTACTTATATGTCACATACTGACAACAGAAAGATCTCAAGAAGAACCAAAAAATGTCATAATAGTAAACTTTTTACCTATGAAATCAATTTCAAAGGAAATTACTTTACACCTTTCAGACAATATAGTCTCATTATAGAAATTACATAGAGTTCAAGAACAAGTTGAGCTAAATTGAAAATACACATATAACCCCACTTCATATAGGAATACATATAAAACAGTTAATCAGAGAATCGTGATATAGTTTGTGTGTATATACATTTAAATGTATTTACAAGTGCTGCAACTTTTTTGCTTGGTTTTCTTTTGTACAAATATTTTGGGTGGATTAATAAACTCACCTGCCAGCTTATCAGGGCTTAGTGAATACTTATAAATATAAATGATGCATAACGAGTATTTTCTTATATGTAAACATAGCTTAGTACTACTATAAGTGTAAACAGGTGGATCAAATAGAGGACTGGTTGCATATTAAGCTGGTTATGAAATACAACAAAAGCAAACAAACCTAAAAGTTAGCCGTTTTTTTTTCTTGTTTTTACTATAAATTCACATTTGACTTACTATAAGCGTGATAAAATGCATTAGATCTTTACTATACAGAATGCTAATTAATATACTATCTAACATTTAAGCCTTGATAAGCTGACACTGTAACAGCTAATTTTAAACTAGTTCTGTAAACTGTTGACGAACCCGTGCAGACTGTTAGGAGCAGCTCCAGACATCGACGACACTCAGACTCGTCCCAGAAATAACATCACATCAACACAAAAAAATTATTTAAGAAAAAAGAAAAGAAAGTCACGAGTTTTGCTCGTGGCAAGATGTTTGTCGGGATAACTTTACATTCACAAACAGATCTCCATTTCCTCTTAATTGCGTCGCATATGCTAATGCTTTAACATTCGCTGTAATTACCAAAAGCGAATTAGGGCATCGGCGCACGCTGATGACCATAATGGATTAAAAAGTCCATTTCTGCAGTATGAATCACAAATCATTAGGAGAAACTATTATCAAAGCTGTAATCTATTTACAGAATAAAACATCTCCAAGTTAATTAAGCTGCTTTAGAATTACCAGAACAACAAATTTAAATTGTTTCCGTGAAAAAAAAAACTTCCGTCCAGAACGAGAACCCGAAGGTGTCGTCTATCACTCCGCCTTAATCATTATTCCGATTTGACGTTTTGCTTTTAATATTTGAGTGCAAATTAATACTTAATACTAAATTTGTACCTCTGATATTAAAAGTAGTCATTCAAATGAGCTCATGAATGCTTGATAGACAATTTCTGTGATTAACAGCGGGTCCTGTGATAAATTGTTCCT